GCTTTCTTTTTTCTTATTCTTTTTCTCCTGGATTTTCTTTACTACACTCTGATCTCTTTCTCTTTTACTCACCACTTGCCCTAATTGTGTTTAGTTCTTTTCCTTTCTTTTTATTTTCTCTCTTCCATAATTTTTTTATATTTAATTTCTCATTTTGATTTTCTGTTCTTTTTCTGGCTATTACTACTTTGAAGAAAAAAAAAAAGAAATACCTTTTACTGTTTTCTTTCTTCACTGTTGTTTGTTTCCTTTCCTTCTCACATGCATGTGCTTTCTCTCCTTACCTCACCTGACTGGAGACAGCAACCAAGCCCTTATAACCTAGCCACAACCATCTCCACTACAACTCCACCCGCTAGGCAAGAGTCAGTAACAGCTGCTGTACACCTGATCAATGATGATTATCAGCCTCAGCCAAACCCATTTAAACAGAACTGCATGTACAGCAAACAGAGCACTGCACATGCTTCCATCCCCTAATCACACCTACCAGGAAGTAGTTGGTGAGTGCCTAAGAATACACCAACATTCAACCATAAATTTAAAATAAATACGATGACACTATAATGTGTCCAAAGCAACAGACTATTTCTGTTTACACGAAGAAACAAATCAGTGGTTCAAACAAATGACCTAAAGAGTTAGAAAACGTTTTGATGAGGAAAAGGCATTGGAACTATCTGAAAAAGATTGTTGTTGTTAAGTGCCATCAAGTCAGTTCTGACCCATAGCGACCCTGTGCATGGTTTCTGAGGCTGGAAATCTTTATGGGAGCCAAACGCCTCATCTTTCTTCTGCGGAGCGGTTGGTAGTTTCGAACTGCTGGCCTTAAGGTTCGCAGCCCGATTTGTAACCACTACGCATAGTTAGATACCTCCAAATTAATGATAGAAAGGTCAAGAAAAACAAGGAAGAATTCAGGAAAACATTACAGAAACAAATAAAACAGAGGATTAGAGAAAATACAGAACTTGGCAAATAAAAATTCAGAAGATCAATACTAAGATTTCAGAAATGGACAGTACATTCAAAGAGCAAAGCAGTAGATATGAATCAATGGAAACCTGAATTAGTGAGCATGAAGATAAATCTCTCAATACTAGTATGCTAAAAGAACAATCAAGAAAAGGAATGGAAACATTAAAAACCAAATAATTCTAAGATTCATGTGGACAACACAGAGAGGAATAACTTGTAGGTGATTGTCAATCCAGAACAGGAGGAGACAAACCAAAGCACACAAAAAAATAATAATAATTGAAGAGATGTTGGAAGAAAACATCCCTAATATCATGAAAGATGAGAAGATAAGCATTCAAGAAGCTTAATGAACCCCAAACAGGAGAGACATCAAAAGAAAATCATGAAGACATACTATAATCAAACTTTCCAAAATCAAAAGACAAGGAAAGAATCCTGAGAGCAGCTCAGGAAAAACAAAAAGTTACCCACAAAGGAGAACTAGTAAGATTAAGCTCTGATTTCTCCTCAGAAATCATACAAGAAGGCATGATTTGGTAACCAAGAATCATATACCCAGAAAAACTATCCCTCACATCCAGCAGCATAATTAGAACATTTTCAGATCAACAGGAATTGAAGGAATTTGTAATAACCAGACCAACTTTATAAAATATACTTAAGGAAGTCCATTGGTCTAAGAACTAACAACAGCAGACAACAACCTGAGACTGACATACACAACAACACTACCCAGAATTCAATCAAGATGTAGAATAGCCAAAGTAAAACAAACCTGCAAGACTGAAAATAGGGAATCAGAGATATCTATTTAGAATAAAGACAACTACAAAGCCAAAAGAAGGAAAAGTATAGTTACTAAACTTCTAAATGGTGAAGAAGGCAAGTATATTTCAAGATAAAGCAGGTGGTTTAAATAAATTACATTGTAACGTCAAAGAAAATTAATACACCTTCACATCAAACCAAGAAAAAGGAAAACCATAAATATTTGGTTGACATTAAAACAATAGCAAAATAATAAATTGACAAGAAAACACACAAACAAAATGAACTCACCACAGAAAATTATGTGGAACAAAGAAACCAGAAGCACCACCAAAAAACACACAGCAAAATGACTGCAATCAGTTTGTACCTATTGGTAACTACATTGATTTTAATGGATTAAATACACCAGTCAAGAGACAGAGAGTAGCAGAATTGATAAGAAAACTGTTTTTCAATACACTGTGTACAAGAGACACACCTTATCCACACAGACAAAAACAGATTAAAAATCAAAGGATGGGAAAAAATAAGTTAAGCTAATGGCAGTCAAAAATAAGCAGGGTGACATTATGGAGTTCTGATAAAATAGGCTTTAAGGCAAAAAACCATCATGAGACAAAGAAGGAAATTATCTCATGATTAAAGAGTTAATTGAACAAAAGGGCCATAATATCTATGCTCCCAATGAAAGAACTTGAAAATACATACTATTAATAGAATTGAAGAAAGAAATAGACAACTCTGCGATAAAAATAAGACATTTTAATATACCACTTTCAATGCAGGACAGAACTAGAAAGAAATTCAATTACTAAACACAATCAACTTGACCTCATACATAGATTTATATAGAACACTCAACCCAACAACAGCAGAATGCACATTCTTTTCAGTATACATTGATTCTCCAGAATAGACCTTATGTTAGACCACAAATCAAGCCTCAGTAAATTTGAAAACATTGAAATACTACAAAAAGTCATTTCAGATCACAATGCTATAAAATTAGAAATTAACAGTGGAAAGATTTTTTTAAAAATCAAAGCTATGGAAATTGAATAACATTCTATTTTTAAACTACTGGGTGATAGAACACATTTAAAAATTTTTTAAATCCCATGAATCAAATAATAAAAAAACACAACATACCAAAACTTTTGGGACAAGCAAAAGTAGTGCTTAGAGTGCAATTTACATCAATAAATGCACACGTGCAGAAAGAAGAACCAAAATCAACATCAACATATTAACACAACATCTCCAATAATTAGAAAAGGAACAGCAATATAAGTCTACAGCCACCAGAAGAAAAGGAATAGTAAAGATTAGAGCAGAAATAAATGAAACAGGAAAACAATAAAAGAACAAGACAAGAAGTTAGTTCTTTGAAAGGATTAATAAAATTGACAAGCTGTTGTCAAATACAACAAAAGAAAAAAAGGAGAAAATGCAAATAACACACATAAGAAACCATATGGGTGATGTCACAGCAGAACCAACAGAAATAAAAAAAGGATAATAACAGAATACTATGATAATTGTATTCCAACAAATTTGAAAATCTAGAATAAATGGACACATTTTTAGAAAAGCAGAATTTACCAAAATGAACCAGAATGTAGTAGGAAACTTGACTAAACCTATAATAAAAGAATTGATCCGGTCATTAAAAATCATTCAACAAGTATACCCACAAATATATAATACTTTAAAAGAGAATATTTGTACATGGGTATTTACCTTTCCTGAAAACAACAATGAATGTGGGGCAGCATAAAACAGAAAAAATGAAAATTTCTTAGATATTATCAAGCATCTTAAGGCAATGAGTTTCTGGGCTTGGGAATTCAGGACCATAGTCTGAGGGGACGTCATGGTCAATTGGCATAACATAGTCCACAAAGGAGCTCTGGTAGCGTAGTGGTTACGAATCGGGCTGCAAACCGTAAGGTCAGCAGTTCGAAACTACCAGCGGTTCCGCGGGAGAAAGATGAGGCGTTCTGCTCCCGTAAAGATTAACAGCCTCGGAAACCCTGTGCAGGGTTGCTATGAGTCGGAACCGACTCCACGGCACATAACAACAACAACAGTCCACAAAGACAATGTTCTACATCATACTTTGGAGAGTAGCATCTGGGATTTGATGAAGACTTAATTAACAACATGATATGCAGAGAATACAACCTTGCTTGCTGAAAGTGAAGAAGACTAAACATTTCTTGATAAAGATCAAAGAGCACAGCCTTCGGTATGGATTACATCTCAAATGTAAAGAAAACAAAACTTCTCACCACTGGACCAATAACATTCTTATCAATGGAGAAAAGATTGAAGTTGTCATGGACTTCATTCTTCTTGTATCTACTATCAACATGGAAGCATCAGTCAAGAAATCAAACCACATTGCATTAGGCAAATCTGCTGCACAAGACTTTTTTAAAGTGTTGAAGAACAAAGATGTCAGCTTGAGGACTAAGGTACGCCTGACCCAAGCCATGGTATTTTCAATAACCTCATGTGCATGCAAAAGCTGGACAATGAATAAGGAAGACCATAGAAGAATTGATGCTTTTGAGTTATGGTGTTGGAGGAGAATATTGAAAGTGCCATGAGCTGCCAAAAGAACCAATAGATGGAGACCCAAAGCTAGCCACTGAAGATTTGCAGTCATGTTTGCAAAAGTAGAAGTTGTAGCAAGGGAAAATGAGAGAATGAAAAAGAGATTCATAGCATGAATGTATATAGATACAAAGAATTAGTAGATCAAAACCGAAACACCTTTAGAAAAGTAGAATGTCCTCTATAATTTTGTTGCCTCCATCATCTTTGTCCATTTACAAATAAAAGATGTAACTGATTAAGTCTTAGGAACTATATATACAGTCTTCAGGTAACTCTAAATTTATATTTGTAAAAATAATGATTTCACTGATTTAATTTGTTAAGCTGTGTATTTTATTATATTGGTGTTAGACTCTAAATTGGTGAATTTATAGTATTCCTAATTAATCTGGTGAATTACTTTTTTCTTTTATTCACTTTAAGCTAATTGAAGTCCTAAAGTAGTGAATTTGAAAATATACAGTGAAGCACACTTTTGGAGGGGAATTTTTAAAAATTCTTCTAACATTTCAGTTTCATTTTAGCTCTATAAGTGTGTTAAGATGAATATTTTTCCAAATAGTGTTCAGAAATTATATATTTTAAAGATTAACTTGAACATTTCAATGATGTTAATCTTGCTTTAGGTTCTAGTATAATGCCAGCAGCTGGAACAATGTATCTAACAACTTCAACTGGCTACCCTTACACATTTCATAATGGTGTTGCATATTTTCATACTCCAGAGGTGACTTCTGTCCCACCACCTTGGCCTGTAAGTAATTTCATTTTTATATAACTATTGATATCAACATTTTAATGTTTGTTTTTATTCTGAAATACTTCAACCACACAAACCCAGGAATCAAACACAACTCATAGTGACCAAGTCTACATCTTTATGAGAGTAGATACCCTCATAAGGATTCAAACTGCTGACATTTCAGTTAGTAGCTAACTAACAACAATATCATCAAAGCTCTTCATAATGTAGGACCAAAGAGAAGAATCTATTTTGTCTATAAGCTTTTGCACGTCCTCTAGCTCCAAGAAAATTATATATGTATAAATAGCCAGGCAGCTCAAGGCCAGATGCCAGATGTTTTCCTTTGCCCTAGCCTAAGAACAAAGACCACCAGTCCTGACCAATTAAACTGTAACATCTCATAGTTTGCCAATTGTTAACCAATCCAAAAATTGTAAAGCTGAGAAACCCGAGCTTGTTTGAAAACTCTATAAAAACCCTGCAGACAAAGGGTTCGGGGCTCTATCCCTAATCCGCTGCGTCGGATGAGATGAGTCCGAGCCTGAGCTTGAATAAACAACCCTTATGTATTTGCATCGGCAACGGCTCCTTGGTGGTCTTTGGGGACCCCAAATTCTGGGCATAACATATGGGGCCTCGTCCGGGATCCCCATAACCCCCATAGGACCCCTGAAACCGGAGGGTTGTCACCGGCTGGTAAGTCTGTGTCTGTGTATGTGACCCCTTTGTCTGTTTATGTTTCGGTCTGAAGTCAGTACACAATCTAGGCGGACGTGCCAGAAGGCTACCGACCAGGAGTCTTGGAAGACGTTCCAGACTCCCCTAAAGGGGACAGAAGGCCCCGAATCTAGAAGAGACGCAGTGCTCCAGAGAATCTGTGTAACTAGTGAAAAAGCCAGCATCTTACTTTCAGTTTTGCCTTCAAGCTAGTGAAGGAGTATCATGTTTCAGTTTATGTCTGTCTCTTTATTGTCTTTGCTGTCCATTGAGTGAATGAGTAGTAAGAGTGTACTCCCCTGTCTGTTACCCCACCTAACTTCATGTTTTACCCAGGGTTTGTGTGTATCCCAATCAAACTTAACTCTTAGAATTGCTGTAACTGCACCTGCTGGTGTGGGCTTTTGGAGAGGGGAAACACCGCTGGCTGTAGAGTCCTGGGGCCAGCAGGGGATACAGCAGCCAGAACATCACTGAGGCCGGGATCTGCGACCTGCCTGTGAGCTCAGCACTTCCCTGGCTGCCGCCCAGACTCCAGCACAGCCTGAGCTAGCTTCCAAAGTTTCGTCAGCCTGCCTCCAGCTGCATCCTCCCGCTGAGTCTATGTGGGCTTCCGGGCTTGCACTACCCTCCCTGCAGCCACCCCCCAACCCCTTGAACCAGGGCTGCTGAAGCCTGAGCAGCCTGCCTCACAGTACCCCTACAGCCGGTCTGGAGCAGCGCTCCCTCTGCTTAGCCGCTGCTCACTTCCTGAGCCGGCAGCCAAGGAGCTCAGGAGCAAGACGCACATTCTGCGATAGCTCAGCTGCCAGCCATCCTCTTGTTAAGCCCCACCCAGCTGAGAACTGGTGGGGCCTGAGCACTCCTGGCCGCCTGCAGCGCCACTACTGCTGCAGCCGGTGAGGACATAGACCAGCAGCCGGGAGAGGGGTGGCTCAGGCGATGCCGCGGATTTTCTTCACTCAACGAGCAGCAGCTCAGAGCCAGAGAACTGGGGCCAAGACAAAGCACACTTTATGCAGGGAGCTAGCCGCGGGCGTAGAATGTGCACGTCTGCGAGCATCCCTGCCAGCATCACTCCCCTGTGCCACCCTCCAGCACTGAGGTCAGAGTTTGTTGCTAAAGTAGCCGAGATTTGCCTCAGTCCCTCTGGGGCACATGCAGAGAGTGAGCGTGCGTGTTTCATAGAAGACTTTATTCCCCCAGTACAGGCAGAGGAGAGAGCAGGGCTGTCCGCTACTGCTGCCACCTGCCCTTCATAAGCAGGAGGCCCAACAGAACCTAGCGTGTTGCTAAAAGGGAGAGGGAGCAAGCCCTCCGGCTCCAGCCACTCTGCTGAAAGTGGCCCCGCCCTCAAAACCCGATACCAACGAGCTGCATCACCGGCAGAGCCCCGCTGCAGTTTTAGAAGGAATTCAGAAAGCCTCCCATGTGACCCCCAACAGCCGGTAGAGTCTGTCCCCCATTGGATGGAAGGGCAGGCACCTCAGGGCGTGAGTGTTCTCCAGGCTTCACCCCACATCCCAGGCACTTTAGGGCCCATGTCACGCTCCCGATGAGGCTCAAGGTTGCTGAGAGAATCTTCTGGTGTCCTGGGAGGCTGGTTCTCTCCACACTGCTGTATCCACCTCCAGCCCTTAATTAGTATTTAGTATTCATAGGAACAGTGGTAGTATTTTTACATGTTGGCAGCACTCCTCCGGAGAGTTAAAAGTGATATGCAGCCAATTTGCACGTTTTTACCAGCTGCAACGTCACCTGTTCTACCAGGTTCTCTGACACACTAAATAGTGACACAATGTTGCCTGATCCTATACCAACATGTTAATATCATTCACTGTTACTATTCTGTCACCCAGCAGGAGAAGTTTCTCCTTCATTTCCCAGTGGTGAGAGAAGTCATTATAAAGGAGAGGCAGACCAGAACACCAAGCAAAAGAGAGATTGCTCTCTGCAGAGCTGAGAATCCAGATGAGCAAATTACAGATGACAGCTGATAAAATAGCACAGGGCTAAGGTCTAAGAGTAATTTGCTGTGCAGTCTAGTGGGTCTTCAGGAGAAATAGTTGTGTTCGTTCAAGAGCTAGGAGATCAGGTGAGAAGTGCAGAAAATGAGAGAGTATGATAGCCAAAAAAAGTAATCCAAGGATGAAAAGAAGCAGCAAACAATGTATCCCAGCAGCTAAGAGAGAAGAGGCTTGTTCAAAAGTTTACAGAATGTAGTGATGACCAGATAGCCAGGACAAAGAACACAAAAGAGGAAAAGAACTTTGCTTTCCAAAATGTGCAAAGTGTGTAGCTAACACAATGGAAGAAACAGAGTAAGGTTTGTGGAATTTACAATAAGTGAGATGAGGTCAAATCAGAATAGAGTTGAAAGAGTGATATCAAAAGGCATAAGCTAGACCATGACAGTGGAAGAACTGTTAGAAAAGCAAGAAAGGACAGGGGGCATACAAGAAAGAGAGTGAATGTTTTGAAGCAGTGAGTAGGATTGAGGACCAGTGAGTTAAAAGAGAAGGCAAAATCAGCAGTTTCCAAACTGGATAGACCTCAGGAGGTAGATTGATGGCATTAGAGTATTCAAGTCAGATTGTAGAGCAGAAAAAAAAAGAAAATACAAAGCCCAGAATGTAAGGCAGTGAGGGGAAGTTAGAAGAAAAACGCATGATGAATTGAGAAGAAGGGAAAGAGTAAAGTTGCATATGAAGACGTAACCTATTAAGAACCCCCAATAACAGGCAAGCTGAGGGGCATGTAGACAGAGTCCAGTATGTGAGTATAAAAGATGGAAAATAGTAGAAGAGTTGATTTTGTTTGAAAGATGTTTAGAAGTGTAAAGTTTAAGACTTAGAAAGTTAAAATGACCTTAGAATTCTAGGGCATTTTACTAAGTAGCAATCTGTCAACTAAGTATATCAGTAGCCCACTTTGCACAAGACTCTGGGCACTAGGAAGACTATAGAACAGAGAAGGCATAGTCCCAAGAGTTAAGCATTTTAACCCTGAAAAGACAATGAAGTGGCGCTCTCAACACACCAAGTTTTCAGATAACCCTAGAGATCTTATTAACCTGTTAGAAACTGTTCTGTTCACCCATCAGCCCACCTAAGATGATTATCAGCAGCTCTTCCAAATCCTATTCACCACAGAAGAGCGAGAAAGAATCCAGATAGAGGCCAGGAAATTAGTTCCTGGTGATAATAGGCAACTCACCACAAATGCTGACATCATTAATATCTCTCTCCCGTTGTCCCTACCAGACTGGGATTTGAACATGATAGAAGGTAAGGAGAGACTCCAAGTCTACTGCCAGGCTCTGTTGGGGGGGTCTCAAAGTGGCTGCTAGAAAGCCCACTAATTTGGCCAAGGTAGGAGATGTGCAGCAAAAGCCAGACGAGAGCCCCGCTGCATTTAAAAAAAAAAAAACTCAGAAAGCCTTCTGTAGGTATACTCTTATAGATCCAGAAGCAACTGAGATTGAAGCAGCTGTTAATCAGACAGCTCCTGAGATTAGAAAGAAGTTACAGAAAGTAGATATACTGAGAAGAAGAAAGTATCCAAGATTTAGTAATAGTACCTGAGAAAGTGTATAACCATAAAGAAATGGCAGAAGAGAAACAGGTAAAGTCAGAAAGTCACCAGACTCAGAACCTTGCTTGAGTCTTGCTTGCCACTACTGCAGAAGAGCTGAGAGAACTGCAAGAGACAGGCGAAGCAAGAGTGAGCGCAGAGAGATCCTGGCTAGGGAAAAATCAGAGTGCTTACTGTGAAGAAGAAAGCCATTGAGCCAGAGACTGCTCCAAGAAAAGACCAGAGAATAAACTGAAGGCCCCCATACTGGCAGTTGATGAACTGAGTGACTAGGAGAGATGGGGTTCAGTGCCCCTCCCAGAGCTTAGAGTAACCTTGAAAGTAGAGGAGAAGCATGTTAAGTTTCTGGTAGACACGGGAGCCCAACATTCGGTTCTGTTAGCGCCACACAGTCAAGTGTCTAGCAAAACCTCTTAGGTCCAAGAGGCCACCAGGATGAGACAGTACTCATGGACTACTTTAAGAACAGTAGACCTAGGTGTGGGTCGAGTATCCCACTCATTCATAGTTATTCCAGACTGTCCATATCCCCTACTTGAGAGAGATTTGCTCACCAAGCTAGGGGCACAGATTCACTTTTATCCCGAGAAGACAGAAGTCCTAGACAAGAGAAGAGAGCCCATTCAGGTGTTGACTATAAATCTTGAAGAAAAGTATCAGCTAAACCAAAGGCTGGTACAGCTGAACCCTGACGTTGA